CTTTATCACGACGTTGCACATGCCTGAAATAGTTTTAATTTCATTTTAATCTAAAATTCATATAAAGAACCTTAAATTAGTATAATTAATCGTACTATTTTTAAAAATGAATTCCATTCAATACGTTACTCGGTTTCAGGGATATTTTATGAAGCATAGTGCCGTTTGCTTTATTTTAATTGAGATATTTGTCTATATAAACGTACTTAATACTTTATGTATTTATTTATATTAATATTTAATAAATGGCATCGCAACATTTGATATGCAGCAACCCAGATACCTTGTTATAGGCCTCTAGTAAAGTTTATCAAAGTGGAGAAGGGGGGAATGCTCCGAAAAAATCCCGCGTGACTACGAGTTGATCTGTGCGGCGTGTGTATCTTTCCGATGATAGAATCCCAAACATGTGCTTCCGAAGATAGCCCGATTATTTTAAGTTAAAAAAACTAAAGACCTATCAGGGATTGAATTTATCAATAATTTAAATTTTGTGAAATTAAACTTATGATATCACTCATTGTAGAAAATGTTAATAATGGGTTAACCTGTGTCACCTTTCAAAGTTACCAATGAACTCGTCCAAGGATGCATTGAAGGCCGTTTTAAAACTACGCAAAGGAAAGTGCAAAGTCTCTGTATAGAAAATGTTAACATGTTGCGGCTGCGGAGCATCACAGCTTTTTGAAAAAAAGCTGAGAGTCAGCCACTGGAATACAGAACGCTTCTTTCTTGTTTTGTGATGGTATATGATTTGTTTTATCCATCAATTTCTGTTCCTTAAACACATGTTAAACATTAGCGTAAACTAAGTTAAATTCGCCTAGTAATAGTTTTCTTATTTGTAACATAATGCTGTACATAGTAAGTTTTTTGTTTGTTTGTTTGTTTGTTTATTTTTAACGTCCCTCCCGAGAAACAATGGCATATTTTTATAGTATCATAAAAAATAGTAAAAACATCTCACTTAGAACAATCAATGACTTTAATTTTTCCTCGAGAACGACAAAGAACAATACAGTCTATAAATAGATCGAGATCCCAGTCTTTATTCAGAGAGTGTGCGTGAAGAAGCACGTTGATTGGAGTAAACAGTATGTTATTCTTAAGTACAAGTCGTATAAATCCTTTTCATTACGCAAACGCACTTGCAGTTTCATCCCAACGTTAATAGTCAGACCGCGGGCTGACTAATTAACACTTAACATCTTTGAATATACACACATTTTAAGGCTAAACTTCACTTTTGTTTCTAAAAATGTTTTAACTACAAAAATAATTTATTTCAATTCCATGATTAGACTTTAAAAGAAAGAAAGAATTTTACCGGCATCGGTTTTCTGCATCAAGGCACTCGTAAGGACGCATTTCAGTTGAAGGGAGGGGGATGGGGGGTTGAAGACCTGACATAAAAAAAAGTCTTGAGGGAGTACGACCGTAAATGAGCTTAGATTGAATACTTAATACCTCATCTATAACAAAATTCTATAGTTAACTATGCTTTACTATAGTTAACTATGTTTTACTATAGTATCAAAGTTTTTTTTTTGCTATAGTAAATCAAGGTATTTTTATCATGGATTTCAGATTGTTATATTTTTTGTTCTTGTACATGTACATAACTTGTACATGTATGTTTTTTTTAATATTAAATGAAACTATTATTTCTTTATTCACAAACCATTTCCAAATTTTATGTCACTGTTACCGAATTTAAGAGGTTTTAATCTTTGAAGTCTCAAAAAAATGTTCCAGAGTAAAGTTTCATAGTAAATCAAAGTATCAAAGTTTTTACTATAGTTAACTATAGCAAACTATATTTAACTATAGTAAATTTTTTGTTAGGGATTACCGGATGCTACAGATCTGGCATCATATTCAATCTATAACAGAGAAGTTCTCTCTTTCAAGGAGAACAACACTGGTAAAAATTGGACAATATTATAAAATCTGAACACCAGCAAAACAGTTTACATGTGGGGTATTTGTGATAAATGGAAGTCCCCTTTAAAGGTCAAGGTTACATACAGTTAGCAATAGATGTAAACAATGGATACCTTGATCAGGACGTGCTTCTTTCATTCGTTATAACAGTTTTCGTTAGTAGACCATACATTTAAATTATAAATTAAAATTTCAAATTTACATGCTTCAAGATGGAAGAATTTTTTTTTTGTTTTTGATTTGTTTTTTGTTTTGTAAAACGTATTTAATTAAAACCCATAGCTTCTCTTAAATTTCTGTCGAAACAAAGACTTACGGTCCACATATTGATGTCCTTTTTTTAAAGGACAGCAACTTGTTTACTAGATTAATGAGAAGGAGCACTGTTCGTATTCTCAACCTTTCATAAAATCAGGTTTGTGAGATTCAAAAGGACAATTAATGTTCTGACCTTCTGAAGAAAGTAGAATTATGAGATTCAACAAACGCTTGGAATATTGTTTTTGCATTGTTACACCGCGAAATGTAATAACGCAAAATGTAATAAACCCGGATTATTGCATTTTGCGTTATTACATTTTGCGTCAATATCAACGCAGAATGTAATAACGCAAAATGTAAAAAAAACAGACTTTTTAGGATAATTACATTTTGCCTTATTACATTTTGCGTCGAAATCAACGCAAAAAGTAAAATCGCAAAATGTAATAACACGATTTTTGGATTATTACATTTTGTGTTGTTACATTTTGCATCGAGATTAAACAAAATGCAACCACGACCAAAATATGTTGTAACATTTTGTGTTGTTTACTTACTTTCAAATTGATACATATAGCTTATAATCAAAACATTCTTTGATTATTATTTATGATATATTGTGTTAAATATGTACGCCTTGTCATAATCATGCAGAAGTAATCACCAGAATTAAATTTTTTGAATATTAGGTCAAGCATGAAGGTCAAGGTCAAGGGGTCAAAAATTAAAGGATGCTCGGAAACATCTTCTTACAGGCAATGCACAAGTCAAATATGAAAGCTCTATCTCTTCTCATTCAAAGTTATAAGGAAAGATAACGTTTTTGATAAGTAGATCAAACTTCAAGATCAAGGTTACATGGTCAAAAATCATAGTGTATTTAGAAAGGTCTTTTCAGAGATAATATACATGTAAAATATGAAAGCCCTATCTCTTCTCATTCAAAAGTTATGACCAAGCTTAAAGTTTTTGAAAAGTAGGTCAAACTTCAAGGGTGAAGGTCACGAGGTCAAAAATCATAGTGTATTTAGAAAGGTCTTGTCTTGCACAGGTAATACACATGTGTAATATCAAACCCCTAACTTTTCTCTTTTAAAAGTTATGACCAATTTAAAGTAATATTTAATTTTTTTAAAAGTAGTTCGATCTTCAAGGTCAAGGTCAAAAGGTCAAAAATCATAGTGTATTTAGAAGTTCTCGTAACAGGTAATTCACATATGTAATATGAAAGCCCTATCTCTTCTGATTCAATAATTATGACCAAGATTAAAGTTTTTGAGACAAACGGACAGATTGACAGACTTACAGACTGATAGACGGACAGTCGAATGAAATTTAATGTCCCCTCGATTTAGCGAAAGCGGGGGACAAAAGATATACGTGTATATGAATAAGCATCACTATACAGTGAACAAGCATAGGCACTTTGTATAAAGACACCCCACTGTTGCTATTTTTTTCTCTTTATATCTGGAATAGACACACTTTTTCCGTTTTTGTATATTAGGCTATAAAATAGCCTTCTTCATTGTTCGTATGAGCTGTAAAAATACATTTCGTTTTGGCTAATCCATTACCCTTTACCATTGGCTCTAATATTCATCTCTGTCGGTGGCTCGAGCAAATATCACGGTGATTTGCACGATAAATATAGTACATGTATGTTTGTTTAAAATTATTACAATAAAATGCTTGCCGAAATATCTGTCTTTTAAAATTGATATTTACTTACTAAAATTCAAATCTTGATCTTCGTTTAATTTCAAGAAATCCTTGAAATAACTGACACGGTGTCGGTCAGTAGAGTGCTAACTCTGTGAACGGAAGGTCGTCGGTTTAAACCCTGGCTGCAACTGACCTAAGTCGATAAAAAATAGGTAGCAACTATTTCTTCGCCTTGCGCTCGGCACTCTGAAGTGGGAGATGCAGATGAGACATTAAAACCGAGGCCCCAAGTCACAACAGGCGAATGCATGACAAAGATGTCAATGCTCAATTGCCCTGAGTGCCATTTAAGGTCTAAATATGAAGCTTTTCACCGGTATATGGCAACGTCTCTATATGAGTTTAACATTCTCAAATGGAACAAAAAACATACTACAATCAATGAATCAATTATTGGGATATATTTTTACTTAATGTCAAAAATCGTAAAACAACCCCACTGTAGAAGTATCTGAAAGAGAAAGGAACGTCGACCCTGCATCGGAGACTGAGAGAGAATGAATGCAACTCTTTTTTTTTTTGTTGTCTGCCTCACCTCGTTTAAACATTGTGAGATTGATTTGTATATCTAAAACATGATTTAACAAAGAATGTGAATATATCAATAAATTGTTACACATTGCTCTTATTTAAATTTTCCATTTCATTTATAATCATAAGTGATATACGGATTTGCACATCCATAAATTTTCATGTTATTAATCTGAAATCTATACAAATCGGTAGTATTTAGAAACGAAATTGAAGAATGAAAATTAACAATGCGTCACTAATTCATTGCATATCCAATTTTTAAATGTGTTTTTATATGTGTTTAAAAACAATCACGCTAGGTGATACAGAAGACGGAAAAAAAGTTGCATGCTTTCTCTAGATCTCTTTTTATGCATCAACAGCACATAGAAACAAAGCGTGCATTATCGATAATATGCGATGCATATTACAATCACAAAAAGGAAACAGTATGTCGATCCCTGGTTAAAAAAAAGGAAAAGGGGAGGGGTGTCTTCACCTTAAGTGCCTGTGTGAGCAAGTGTCACAACTGAAATGCTTCCTCATTTCAGTACATGCGAACACAGAGAAAAGATGTTTTTCATGACTGACTTGTAGATTTGTTGAATGATATATTCATATCCTTGATTTAAAAGAATGTATCTGATTTCGTGGACGTTAGTTTTCTGTTTTCTGATGTACAAACCTATGACTGAGGCCTGTCCTGGTCATTGTAGCTGTGTAAGTGGTTACTTCTGTGATGGGACCTATGTATATTGTAGTGGATTAACTGAAGTACCTAACAGCATCCCCAAAGACACATGTGACTTGTAAGTAAATGTTTAATTAAGAGTATGTCTTAAACAGAATTAAAAAAAGAAAGAAAGATGTTTTCATGGTTTCGCCTTTAGGAATGATTTTTGTTTTTTTCAAATTGATGCAATATATGTTATCTTTAAGCTTTTTATTAAACATACCGTAGGGGCAATACGGATTATGCATTAAACCGCGCTCCCTCTTGGTGCGTTAATTCTAAACGTGATACACCACCGCGGCTAGGTCATCGCGATTCTGCCTGTAGTCAGGTATAAAATGCGGGGGTGTGACTTAAATTGTGGTGCACATCGGGTTTTGTTCTAACTGTTCGACCCTATTTATCTAAATAACCTCTTCTTATTCGGTCTATATTGCAGATTTTGAGTATAAAGGGTTATTTTATTAAAAAAAAACAAATATGTATACTATGTTATTACTACCAAAGAATATCTTATTCAAGTTTAGTAGTGTAAGATCTTATATTCTGTGTTTGATCAATGTGTTGAAATATTTTTTAAAATATTTAATTCCTAATCATTAGCCTAAATTTATTATTCATAATTCCGTATCGTATTTTTTTAATGAAACACGTACATATTTCAATAAATATTCCATAGATGGAAAAGTTAAAATATTCTGAAATATGTTTAGGCAACATACTGTTAATGTCTTTTCCTTTCTCGTATTAATGATGGCTCAAAAAAAAACCCCTGTTCAGTTCAATTTATATTGGTACGCATTTTCGCTTGAACGAATGCATTACCCTGGTAACTACATGTATGTAACGATGGTCATGAAAATTTAAGCATGTGTTGGCTGAAAACACTGGGTAGTAGTGCATTAGCAATACTAGTCTGGTTCCCATTAAAACTTAAAAATGCCGTAATTTAGTAAAAACAATTGAAGCGGATCTATAACTTGCCAAGGTAGACTCACAAACCAAAAAACAGCTCAATATATGCAAACGTTCAGAAAAAAAGAGCGAAAAACCTTTAAATATAAAAAGGCCATAATTCCTTTAAAAACAATTGAAGCGGAACGAAATCCAAACAAGTGGGACAGACAGAGAGACAGACGGAGGGACAGACAGACAGACAGCTAGAAAGACGTTGAGGAAACTTATAGTCCCCTCCGGTTTCACCGGTAGGGGACAAATAGGAGAAAGCTTGTGCTTTCCACATAACATAATTAAGGATTTTTGTGTAGTTTCGTGTGAGTTATTGGTGTTAAAATCAAACAGACTTGTCACGTTGGCAGATTTCACCAGTTTATTCGGCTGTGCGTAATTTATCGGCCTTTTCGTATGTAAAAGAATTAGATTTTTTTCTAGCCTAGAGGCATTCACACTTCTATGACCTCAAGAACCTTTTCATCGTGTAAAGTATTCTGGGTCGGATGATTCGGACCATTCTGGGGAATGTATACAAATGATATATTTACAAAAATTAAATACAAAGGCTAATATGAAAACAACAAGTCAATATATACATATATGTCTAGAGCTATCTACTCCTTTATTATAAAAAATTCAGAAGTTATCTCAGGGCTTTATTCTTGGGTATCTGTCCCGATTACGTGTCTCAAGGATCTGTCCTGTATGCCATATCACTAGAGGGCTGTGTCACGTTGATCTGACACAGGCTGTAGCCAGGTACTAGATAAAATATATAAAAGAAACCCTGAATACCTCGTCCAGGTAAAGTTGTTTTCATCCTCGCTATCCATTACACGCAGAAAGCGTCATGTTAGCAGCTTTTTTTCTTCTTAAATTTTATCGTAAGTTTTCAGTCACCTATATACATGTACTAACCAAATTGTACTTTGAATCGAATATTGTTTTTTTTTTAACAAAAGTTAGTATACACAAGCAAGCTTTATTTTACTGAATCATTTCTTTTTTAGATATTTATACTACTAATAATTATAATCAAACAAAAATCGACTTACACCATAAAATGGTATATATGTTGATCCCGGGCAGAAATTTTGATTGGATAAAAATCTGTTTCTAAAATAATATCGTAGTGTTTTATGGAAAATGAGACGTAAGCAATTTTATTTATTTACTGTAATATTTAAACACTGGGATTGAATTTTTAAATCACTCATTTTTTTTTTTTTTTGATTTTGCTCTCTGCCCGGGATTAACACATACAGTTTTATGATGTAAGTCGACTTTTCCACTCGGCGAGCAGCGTTTTGACGCTGTTTGCGGAGATAAAAGAAAATAAAGATAAGCATGCCATAAATGGTTGTGTAGATAAATTATCGTTGTGTAGATAAAGTATAGAAGACAATGGTAATAAACAGCTTGCCAGTGGATTTCCTCTGAAAGTGTAAATGAGAGCGATTCTTGGGAGGGGGTAATCTATGTAGTTCGGAGTTGGATACCTTGTGTTATTATTAAACTTTGGGTTAAAAAATATTACAAAAACAAGTGCCCGTTGATTAACTACACAATAAAATATCTTGCGTAATTTTGGAGGTAAATTAGCCCTAAGCGTTAACATCCCAACCTTTTTTTAATAGAGCAAATACGGGGAAATCATTCGAATTCATTAAGATCAGACATTTGTGATTTGAATCCAACTGTAATTGTAATCAAAATATGCAATCTTATGTTTTTAGAAAAAAAAATATGAAGTTCAGACGGCAGTGGAGGATTCAGGAGTGAGGGTGGGGGTTGGGAAATCATAATTCCCCGGTCTAAAATTATTTTATATTTTACAACTGTCAAATGTTGGAAAAAAATAAAACCCTATCTTTCATAAATGTGTGAAATATATATCTAACACAGTGACAGGTAATCCCTCTCCACTTGAACGCGCATAATACACACGTATTCAACAGTTGCTAAAGAGACCATGATTAGTCCATGTAGTTGCAACTATATAGGTGTTGCTGCTTAGAGCAAAATTTCACCAAAATATTTCACTTGTGGATTCCAGCATGAAATTTCGCGCAATTATCCCTAAGATAATACTGTTTCTAAAATCATTGTTGGCCATTGCAATTTCCGCCATTTTCACGATGGCCGTCCCTAAAACAAAATGGCGACGTATCTACACTATTTGGACTTATAAACGATCGATTTACCGTGATATTTGTCATACTTGACCGTTTTGTGATATATTTTGGTTATGAATAAATTTGCTAAAGACATCTTAAAAATCATTTTGTAAAACAAAAGCTGAATGACGGTTTATAACGCAATTCAATTCCGCGATACATGTATATTGTTTCTATATTGTAATTGAAAGATGGATTAATGAAAAACCAGCTGATTTTGTAATGATAAAATAGAGATAAAAAGCTCGGACCTCAATCATGTAAAAAGAAAATGTTGAAAAAAAAAAAAAAAGAAAGACAGAATTACCAATCCTACAATGAAATCAAAATTCAAAATCTAGATACAACAGAAGACTGTAAAATGGATACAGACAAGGATATTTTTCAAAAAAAAGATATTAAATTGAATGAAGATTTGATATGACTAAAACAATTGGCAGGAAGCTAAGAAAGATACAAAAACAAATTTGCAAAGACGTTAGCTCCAAACTAAATATCAGGAGCTAGACAAAGATGTCGATCATAACTGCAGGCAAGAACAAGAGACTTTATGAATGAGCTTGCTTAGAAAGCTAAGCTGGCAGCCCAAAGAGGAGATCTGAAGTAATAAAATATCACATAACATTACAAAACTTTGAAAAAGAGACGATCTGGTGTAGCCAACCCGGTCAAAAGTGTTTCTAAAGCTAGGTCTAAATAAACAACTACATGGATGAAACAAACACATTAATGAAGTACTAAATAGACCAAAATCTGGATGACCAATACGATTAACCATGGGAAAGACCTGAATGTAGAAATAGCTGGAAGAAGCGAGAGGGGGATGACAACAGCTACTAGTGTTAAATCTTTTCTATATAATATTAAAAAAAAAGAACAGCGGGAATTGACAAAATACTAACTGAAGCAAGGATGACTTTATGATATGAAAAGAGAATGTGTGTATGTGTTAAACAAATTATGAAAACAGACAGAATCCCTAACAAGCGAAAGAAAGATTGATTGTATAACTAAACTAGAGGTGCTATGAGCACTGAGCTCACAAACTGATACTACCTACCTCCCATTTGATTATAATGGCAAAGTCCACGTTTTGCTATTTGAGACCCGAAATAGGTGTAAAATCAAAAAGTAAAATAGGAAGTGCACAATGGCACCATGTAATAAAAAAATCTGTGAAAGTAGCATTTAATTCTATTTAGTGGCATAGAAGTAATAACGGATAAGAGATGGGTATGCCTCAATAATATAGAAAGAATGGCAGTGTCCATGTTTTGCTATGTGAAACCCAAGATATGTACCCGATCAAAAAATAAAATTGGAGGTCACAATGGCACTATGGAGCAAAGATTCTGTGAAAGTCTCATTAAGTTTAATTCAGTGGTACAATAGGCGTTGCAGATAAGAGATTGGTATCCCAAAGCGTAACGGACGGACGAACAGACATGTACCAAGAAAGAACTGCTGCCTGCTTAGGATTTTAAACAGTGTTATTTGGAATATATTGAAAGAGGCAATATGTAAAGTATTAAGAGACGAAGGAACCAGATTTACATTGATTAGAATTTGCACAAAAGCGCAAGAGGAATCAATTCCCTTTCGGTTAGAAAATATACAATCTAGATTGTGCAGAAAAGCCTTCCCCATTTTTCTCACACTCTAATAGGCATAGGAGACATGAAATAACAGATGAAACGTGGAAATAGAAGCTTAAGATCTATAACAAGGAAAAATGAGAGACCTGATCAGACCTGAAAGAATTGTAACATTCAAAGAAGATTTTATAAAAGAGATCAATCAATTTTCTTAGCTTGGTAGCATCATAAATCAAACAGGGAACTCACGTAAACATTTAATCTAAAGCGAAAGAATGCAAACTTTTTCAATGCTAAGATCAGCATTGAAGTCTAAAGAAACCTCAGAGAATGCCAAAATTGGAATAATC